CAGAGTGAAAACCCACCAGTAGAAACAGAGACAGATAGAAAGTCCCTAAGCCGGTCAATGGTTGGAATATAGAGAAAACTACAAGAAACATGAAAAACAGTTGTTACATGTCAAATCCGAGGCTTCAGCCTCCACAGCACTCTACCTAGCAATGCCAATGTCCTCCTGTAAGCTGTATAATAGGGCAACAATCAGCACTGAGCCATTTGTGGATTACTTACCGTAGAGTGCAGGGGTAGGCAACCTTCAGCACTCCAGATGTTGTAGACTACAACTCCCTTGATGCTTTGTCAGCATTATGGTTGTAGGAGCATTATGGGAGATGTAATCCACAACATCTGGAGTGCCAAAGGTTGCCTACCCCTGCGATAGTGTGTCTGGACATTGGTAGGATCAAAATGTCTGCCACATTAGGTACACAATGAAACTCCCAATTCACACAGTACAAAAAAGAAACTGTCTCTTTTCAGTCATGAGTGCAAAATGTTTTTTGCTCCTATCCTAGTGACTTGGTATTCACAAATAAATGTACATTATGGTTAACAAAAGCAATGGGCAGAACATGGTTTAGAAAAGCATTGCCCTTGAAGACTCAGTGAAAGGACACATGGGGACATGTAAAATATTCAGGGTCATTCACCAACGTGAGAATTCAAAGTCAAATCCAAGTATTTAAGATGAAAATAGCCAAACTGGAATCTTTCTAAAGTGGCCTTAAATTTGAAATTCACTTTGAATTCTCCATTTATTCGAAGTGGATTTTTAAAATTTAAGTCAATATAGTTAAACTGGAAAAATTATCTAAGTCAGCTATGCTTTCAGTTAATCTACTATGGCCTTAAATTAAAAATTTACAGTTTATTCACTTTGAATTCTCACTTTAGTGCATAAGCCTGCAAGTCACTCATGAATGAATAGGTCAGCTCTGAATTTAATGCATTGTCTACTGTGGCTGATATTTTGAACCTGCTTTGGTGACTAATGTACAGATATACCATTGGGCACATCATAAAACAAAATAACTGATTAAAAGGAAAAATACTGTAAAGTGAAAAAAAAAAACCCCCAGAAAAAAAACGATTTCAGTTGAGAACAGAAACACTACGTGCAGCTTATGTCAGAACCAACTTTTAAGTAGGTGGCTGAAACAGGCTAAATTATATACTTGGGTTTTACAATGGAAATCAATCATTTTCTTTGTTTGCTTTTATGTAAAACAGACAAACAAGAATACAATTTACGTGATCCACATCTCTGAACAGCACTGTCACTCACAGATTTGAGAAGCAGTAATGACATTTCTTTTCATAAAATGATTCAGAAAATAACCCTTTGAAAGCCCTGTGCAAAAAAGTATCATCCTAAGCCAATTTGTTATGTGCATCATCTATGACTCCAACATTTCAAAGACTTTAATACCCTTAACTCAATGAATGACTGATCCATTAGGGGCAGGAAGGCAGACAACCCCTCACCCCAGTTTTTGTTGCAAAAATATAAATAAGAAAATCTAATTTATTGGCATTGTATGGACTATTGATATGTGTGTGTCTGTCATGATTGTTTCTGCAGTTTCTATTCTCCCCTTTATTGATGACCGAAGATGCAGCTGGTCTTGAACAGGGCATGACATCTTGTGGGGTTACATCGGCAGTGCCCCACCATCTTTAAACTTCAACAGCCACCCCAGTTTAAACTCCCCGCTATTTCTCTCATATTAATCATGCTCAGTTGATGTGTTTCTGGAGTGGCATTTGGATGTTCCAGTCTAAGCAGTCTTGTTCCAGTCTTGAAGCCACTCACTCAGTTGAGCTCTTCCCACCAAAATGGTGTGTACCAGTTAACAAGTGAAACACCTCAAGCAATGTGTTACACTGGTGGCCTTCCTAATTGACGCAGGAGCATTGCATTGAGTGTAGGAGATACTGACATATTAGAAATTGGAAATTAGATGTGCAATTAATTTAGTTCTGAATCAGATTTCATCTGAATTGAAACAAATTTTCTCAGACCTATTTGTTTTGATAAGGATACCAAATTAAGAATTTATCTACTAAACAACTGAACGAGTAAATTTAAGAATTTCTTAATTTTGCTCTTTCTGCATCTTAGTGGATACATGTCTAATTTGCTATCCTTACGTGGTATTGCCATAATTCCCTAAATTGGTACGCTTAAGTGGGATTGCCGTATTTAAGGCTATACATCTGGGCACTGTTTAACAGATAGCTCCTTTAATTGGTGTACTTATGGTAATCCCATGTAAACTTCAAACTATCTATTAAACAGCAGAAAGAGCAAGATCAAGAAAAAGGCCAACCCGTGGAGCAATTTGGGAGGGGGGAGCATGACTGCTGCCCTTGTCACAGATGTGGGTTTCCTTCAAGTTTAGTGAATGAATAATGTCTGGACGGGCTTGGGGAGTCGCAGCCTTAATTTGGTTGATGACGAAGGACAGGCTGAAGAGGCTTTGGGAGAAGTTTACAGTGTACCTGTCTGCTGGGTAAAACCAGCAGCTGTGACAGTATTTGATTACGCTGGTTTAAATAAAGCTGTGGACGTTGCCCTTACCCACTTAACATGGTGTTGCTTTACTTATTGGGAATGGAAGGGTAACAGGATTTGGTGATCGAAGGAGTCAGCAGTCATGGCTTTTTTTCACCTTTATTATTTTTGAACGAGGCAAATTAAAAATATTGATGGAGATATGAAGTGAGCATGATACCTATTTACATTTTATCTAAGATATCTTTGAATTAACTTTATTACACATTGGATGTTTCTATTGTTTTTATCTTCCCGGAGAGAAATTTCAACAAGAAATAGTGGTGGGATGCTGCCCTAAAAAGCATACCAATCCAGTTTACAGAGCCAATAATATAGGCTTTTGAAAATGTGAGTGAATCATCTATCTACCTCACCTAAATTGCACAAGTGTTCTTCAATCTGCACTATATTATATATTTTTATTTTTCATATTTGTATGCGATGTATATGATCCAATCAAGATTCTGTGAAGTAATTCCTCAACATTTATAGTGCTCCACTTGAGGCATATATTAATTATATACCATACTCTTTTTTTCTAGATTAATTGCATGTGGAATAAAGTGTATTCCACATTAGTGTACAGAGCAGCTATACCAAATTTTCACCACTAACACATCTGTTGTAGAACACATTCTCCCAAAAGGAAATTTTTGGTTTTAGTTTAAAAAAATTTAGGTAATCGAAACACCAGTTTTTTACGCATGCACCTCCCTATTGGAAATGGATAGCTATAGCAGCTATATTTGACAAGAGTAAGGTAGACAGTCAGAGTAAAAGAGAACAAAGAAAATATTAAGGAACGTGGGATAGAAAGGAAAAAGTTTAAGAGCAATTCATTACTCAATATTTCCTATATGTAGAAAAATAATATAAAGTACTAGTCAGAGATAGCAGGTCGCTCTGTTAACCCAATCTTGTAAAGAGTCTTTGAGGTGTTGTGGTCTAAGGCTGTTATTTTATCACTTTCCATGGATTTGTTAACTTTACATGTATTAAAGGGACACTATAGACACCAGAATAACTACAGCTTAATGTAGTTGTTCTGGTGAGTATAAGCATTGTTTTTAGGCATTTTCATGCAAACACTGCCTTTTCAGAGAAAAGGCAGTGTTTACAGTGCCCCTAGGGACACCTCCAAGTGGCACCTCCTTAGATGGCCACTGGAGGGGCTTCCAGGCTCAGTGCTGCACAGCAGGCATCAGTGCCATTCAGCATCTCCACGCAGCTAAATTTTCCTCATAGAGATATATTGATTCAATGCATCTCTATTAGGAGGTGCTGATTGGCCAAAACGGTGTTTCGGACGCCCCCTTGCCGATTTTACCCAATCCAATGCTTTTAATAGGAAAGCATTGGATTGGCTAAAAAAGGCCATTCTGATGATGTCACCAAGGGGGCAGGGCCAATGCCAGCGGACCCGCGCGGCGCTGGAAATAAGGTGAGTTTTATTAACTTTTAAGGGGCCTAAGGGTGGGGGCTAGCCACCTAAATGGTTGGTTAAGCACTATAGGGTCAGGAATATATGTTTGTGTTCCCGACACTATAGTGTTCCTTTCGTGGCAGGCGTCCTAGTACCACTGGAGCGCCTTACTGCAATTGCACTACAAATATACACCTAGCTTTCATATCTGTCATGATGTCAGCCAAAGGTTGGCCCACCATTCAAATTTAAATTAAAGAACATTTCAAAATATATTGCAATGATGCTGTTAGGAAGTTCAGCCCAAAGAGTGCCTAGTTACATTGTATCCCATGAACGGGCTACAATGTATTATGTAACCTAAAAAAGCTTGCTTAATGCTCAACAAATTATATACAAATTATATTATAAATACAAAATGATGGACAACATATAGAAAGTATGTATCAAATGTTGCAGATAGTAAATCAGGTAATAAATAATATAAATTATCCATAATATAGAGGAGCATGATCAACATGATAAAATCAACATGATAAAATTATCTGAGTCCCAGAGAAAATGGTGTGTGTATATGTGTGTATATATATATATATATATATATATATATATATATATATATATATAAATAGTAGCAAAGAGAGCACTCCAAAGGACTTGTTGAAATTTTTTTATCAAAGTGCAGAAAAAATCGACGTTTCGACCCGCAGGTCTTTATCAAGATACATAACATAGTGAAGTGGTAACATTTATAACAATGAATAATTAGGGGGTAATCTCACAGCTGCCACCTCTACCCAATATATGGTTAAACTACAGGACGAAATCACTAGATATAGAAATGATCTGATCAGATTTAAGAAACAAAAACTAGAACGTGTCAATTTTGATTACACTCACCACCAGGTTTACCATTGGCTATGTGGGGAGCGACGCAAACCTAACTTTTCTAGGTACAAACAGAAGGTTCGCAAACCTCAGTTCCTTTCAATTGATACGAGTTCTGCCGAGTCTACCTCGGAAACTGAAGGGGTGGGAGCATCTCAAAACATGCAAGAATCACTACCTGGTCATTCTACAAGACCACCTTTTATTCCCCAAGACCAACATACCAACGACCCGCCGGGGTTCAACACAAGGAGAAGAAGAGATCTAAGAGACCCACAATCACTAGACGTGGGCAGAGGGGCAAAAAATACAGGTACTCGTCCCAAGCCATCGAACAGGAGAATCTGACTCCTATTTTTAACTTATCTTCAAAAATATTGAACTCTGATCACATCAAAGTTCTTTCAAAAGGTCTCACATTTGTTCCCACCCCTAAACCCGATGTATTCAAGACAGATATTGATTTATATAAAATGGAAAGAACCCTTAATCTACAAACATTTAAACCAGATGTACAACAGCAGACAAAACATAATTTTCGTCTGAAAAGCTTATGGGAACCGAAAACCACACATCCATCTATTAAATCTTTTTCTTACCTAGTTAAAAATGATGTACGACAAATTTTGTCGGACTCTAAGTCTTTTTCACCTAATCTAACATCTAAGGAATATAAAGCCCTCAAGGAACTTGCAGACGATGCCAATATAATCATTAGACCAGCGGACAAAGGCGGGGCCATAGTATTACAAGACTATGAACCCTACCGAACGGAGATTCTTAGACAACTGTCCGACCACACGACCTATAAAAAAATTGCATTTGATCCTACAAATAACATCATGGAGAAATTACAGTCATTGGTTCACAGAGGGGTCAGTGCTGGTTGGTTGGATGAGCACATTGCGAAGTATTTGATTGATCTGCATCCTAAAATCCCTTTATTGTACACTTTGCCTAAGGTACATAAAGATCTCCTCAATCCTCCTGGCCGACCTATTGTCTCCGCCAAGCGTGGTATTTTAGAATCATTGGCTAAATTTGTTGATTATCATTGCAAGATACCTACCTTACTCATACCAACATGCCTTAAAGATACACAGGATCTTCTTACTCATTTAAGACAAGTCTCTCTTCCGGATGGACCTATAACTCTAGCAACTGTAGATGTAAAAAATCTGTATACCATCATACCGCACAAAGATGGGCTAGATGCTATGAGACAAGTCTTAATTCATTCTGATCAATATAAGGGGCCCCCCATTGAATATCTCCTCGAATGTTTGGAATTTACTTTGATTAATAACTAATTCCGGTTTGAGAAATTCTTCTATCTCCAACAAACAGGCACGGCGATGGGATCGGCGATAGCTCCTAATTATGCGAACAGCTATATGTTTTCGTATGAACAACAACATATTCTATCAAAATATCAGGCCAATCTCATTTTATACTGCAGATATGTGGATGATATCCTCATGATATGGTCAGGTCCTGTCTCATCTTTTGACACCATGATGGACGATCTTAATCAGATTAATTCACCTGTCCGTTTTAGCCATTGTTGTGATGCCAACAAGATTGAATTCCTTGATGTTTTAATATATCGGATGCACAACTCAATTGGCTATACTTTATACAGAAAGACTTCTGATCGCAACACTTTATTACATGCCACCAGTTTCCACCCAGGTGCTCTTAAGAGATCACTTCCTATCTCACAATTTCTTCGTGTACTGAGAAACAACTCAGACCCAGATAACACCAAGGCACAGATCATGGTGATGCAACGAGCCTTTCGAGATCGAGGGTACTCGAATTATACACTTAAGCGATCGCTGGACAGAGCCTATGATATTTACAATAAGTCTTGTACTACAACAACTATGCTGTCTCAGCAACCCATGAGAATCACAGTACCGTTGCTGTATCATACAGCAAGTGACCAAATTGCAAAGGTTATTCGTAAAAGATGGGACTTATTGGCCTCTGACCCTACATTATTACCCATTTTCTCTCATCCTCCTCGGATTTCGTTTAGACGGAATCGCAATTTACGTGATATGTTGGTTAAAAATGATTGTCCCACTCAATATATAACAGAAAAAGCTCATACTAAATTGGGTTGCTTTAAATGCCCCAATTGCGTCACGTGTGGACATATGCTCACTGGACCCTCTTTTGCTCATCCACATTCAGGGAAACGTTACCTTATTAAACACCATATCACTTGTCTCTCCACTTATGTGATTTACTTAATATCTTGTCCGTGCGGACTTTACTACGTGGGAAAGACTGATCTTACATTGCGGGACAGAATGCGTGGCCACCGATCGGGGATTATGACCGCCTTTAGGGATGGCAGGACCGACAAACCGGTGGCCAAACATTTCTTAGAGGCGAATCATCGACTTCCCACCCTTAAATTCATTGCTATTGATCACATTCCCCCTCTTAGCCGAGGGGGGGACCGATCCAAGATTCTACTTCAGCGGGAGGTTTACTGGATTAAAACATTGGACACTTTATATCCCAAGGGCCTGAATGAATATTTGTCTTTCCATCCATTTCTAGATACACGCTAACTTGTTTTGCTGTTTATCTGTGTAATTTCTGATTCCGTTTCTTATTATCTTCTCGGTCTCATTTTCAAAGTTTTTATCATCTATTCTTGTCATTTCTCTGCATAAGGGATTTTCTGCTTTCATTAGTAGTTCCATGGTGTACTTACTATCCACACTGTATATTGATAACACAATGTATATATTTACACAATGCTTGCAATTATTCTAATATACGTATTTATCGATGGTCCTTACTTTCTTTGGTATTCTACATGTTTTATTTATTTCTTTCTCTGTTCACTCTGTTTCACGGCCTCACTACTGTGGTACGTAGTGGCTGTGTTTTACTGGACCTCCTTTCTCTATTTTATATACGTCCGCTTTAAGATACACCATGGCTATGATTTTCTTCATTTTTTATTTTGTATAGATCTTTCCTATCTTGTTTATTCATCTGTTTCACACTATACACGATCACTTACCTGTTTCTATGGAAACCGGACGCTTTAGGCTTTCCTCTTCCTGGTCGCACGTGGTTGACGTCATCACTCTGTTACGGAACTCACACGCTACCTTCCATCTATTCACAGCTTGTACACATGGCTCCGTAGCTGCACACCTATCTTAGGGTAAGTGATTACCCCCTAATTATTCATTGTTATAAATGTTACCACTTCACTATGTTATGTATCTTGATAAAGACCTGCGGGTCGAAACGTCGATTTTTTTCTGCACTTTGATAAAAAAATTTCAACAAGTCCTTTGGAGTGCTCTCTTTGCTACTATTTTTCTATTTATTTACGCTTTGCAGCACCGAGGCTTTTTCTGGGATTATTATTCTTAAAGGTAGAGTGCCGGATTTTGTACATATTTATATATATATATATATATATATATATATATATACACACTGCTCAAAAAAAAAAAAAAAAAAAGGGAATACAAAAAGAACACATCCTAGATCTGAATGAATTAAATATTCTTCTGAAATACTTTGCTCTTTACATAGTTGAATGTGCTGACAACAAAATCACACAAAAATGGAAATCAAATTTTCCAACCCATGGAGGTCTGGATTTGAAGTCACACTCAAAATTAAAGTGGAAAAACACACAACACGCTGATCTAACTTTGATGTAATGTCCTTAAAACAAGTCAAAATGAGGCTCAGTAGTGTGTGTGGCCTCCACGTGCCTGTATGACCTCCCTACAATGCCTGTGCATGCTCCTGTGCATGCTCCCTACAATGCCTGTGCATGCTTCTGAGGTGGCGGATAGTCTCCTGAGGGATCTCATCCCAGACCTGGACTAAAGCATCTGCCAACTCCTGGACAGCCTGTGGTGCAACGTGACGTTGGTGGATGGAGCGAGGCATGTTGTCCCAGATGTGCTCAATGCCTTCGTCTTGCAGGAACTGCTGACACACTCCAGTCACATGAGGTCTAGCATTGTCTTGCATTAGGAGGAACCCAGGGCCAACCGCACCAGCATATGGTCTCAGAAAGGGTCTGAGGATCTCATCTCGGTACCTAATGGCAGTCAGGCTATTTCTGGTGAGCACATGGAGGGCTGTGCGGCCCCCAAAAAAAATTCCACCCCACACCATTACTGACCCACTGCCAAACCGGTCATGCTGGAGGATGTTGCAGGCAGCAGAACGTTCTTCATGGCGTCTCCAGACTCTGTCACGTCTGTCATATGTACTCAGTGTGAACCTGCTTTCATCTGTGAAGAGCACTGGGTGCCAGTGGTGAATTTGACAATCTTGGTGTTCTCTGGCAAATGCCAAACGTCCTGCACGGTGTTGGGCTGTAAGCACAACCCCCACCTGTAGATGTCGGGCCCTCATACCACCCTCATGGAGTCATTTTCTGATCGTTTGAGCAGACACATGCACATTTGTGGCCTGTTGGATGTCATTTTGCAGGGCTCTGGCAGTGCTCCTCCAGTTCCTCCTTGCACAAAGGCGGAGGTAGCAGTCCTGCTGCTGAGTTGTTGCCCTCCTATTGCCTCCTCCACGTCTCCTGATGTACTGGCCTGTCTCCTGGTAGCGCCTCCATGCTCTGGACACTACGCTGACAGACACAGAAAACCTTCTTGCCACAGCTCGCATTGATGTGCCATCCTGGATGAGCTGCACTACCTGAGCCACTTGTGTGGGTTGTAGACTCCGTCTCATGCTACCACTAGAGTGAAAGCACTGCCAGCATTCAAAAGTGACCAAAACATCAGCCAGGAAGCATAGGAACTGAGAAGTGGTCTGTGGTCACCACCTGCAGAACCACTCCTTTATTGGGGGTGTCTTGCTAATTGCCTTTAATTTCCACCTGTTGTCTATCCCATTTGCACAACAGCATGTGAAATTGATTGTCACTCAGTTGCTTCATAAGTGGATAGTTTGATTTCACAGAAGTGTGATTGACTTGGAGTTACATTATGTTGTTTAAGTGTTCCCTTTATTTTTTTGAGCAGTGTATATATATATATATATATATATATGCACACATTTTATCCAGCACACTCATTCATTAAACAGCAATATCAATTCTCAAAGAACGGAATAGTTTTATTTAAAAACACCTCCCTTATGCAAAAAATAATGGGGGTTTAGTTACATTATATAATCATACATTGCATAAGCCTGCCACAATGTCATTGTACCCCATCATTGTACCCCATTCTTGGCAGGTCCTATCCTCGCAATATAATGGCTGCTCCTACGAGATATACGAGATATACCTGGGAGTAAGTCCCCTCATAGGGCTCTCTGCAGAGCAAGAGTAACCCCTTAAGGACCAAACTTCTGGAATAAAAGGGAATCATGACATGTCACACATGTCATGTGTCCTTAAGGGGTTAAATAAGGCCCTGAATGAGGCACGTGTGACTGGACATTTTTTTCAAGATACCAAGCCCCTGTAATTGTTATTATAAATAAGTGTATGTAATTTATATATCACTCTTTTTCTCCTCATGGGGAATCAAATCATTATATTGAATACATTTTAACCTAATTGACAGCTCAATGGTAGACCTTATTGTTATACCAAGATCGTGGTAAAGCTATTCCATGAACCGCTAGGTTACAAAACGTAGAATGAATATTTTTAAACCCATATTTTAAACTCGCATTTCTCTATGACAAAGTAGGAACTTAACGACACCAGTTTCAGTCTTTGAGAATGAGAGGTAAGAACTTTGAAGTATTAAATGCCTTTCTTAATTGAATGGAGCAAGGGCATTATGTTTCATGTTTTATATGTACCTAGATTTCCCTAAAGTGTGCAATGTGCCTCCCACTCTTTTAGTTCATTAATAACTGCATGACAGAAAACCAGATCCTTCACCTCCACAAGAAATCTGCAGGTGGGAACACATTTGGATAAATATAAAATGTTTTAAGAACAATCAATCTAAACTGCTAATTGTATGAAAGAAAAAAACACGAGCCTATGATTAAAAAAACCTTCTCTATACACCCACATGAGGTGTCCAAATATCAGAACAGGCAGAGTAACATGTGCCTAACACAAATGCCATTTTCAATTAAATGCCCTTGTGTGTATTGTCACGCAAAGGGAAAAAAAAACAAATTTTTGAAAGCAAATCCAGAAAGCAACAGGACAAAAAAAATGTAGCTAAAAATTTTGAAAGCCTGTAATCATGAAGCTATTTTACTGTAGGAACAGATTATTTTAATAAAAGATCTGCAAATGTGGACAGAACAGAATAGGCTTAATGGATATCAAAGGACAAGAACACAGGGTTATTCACTGAAGCGAGAATTCAAAGTGAATTCACAGCAAATTTTTAATTTAAGGCCAGAGGCCAAACTGAAAGAAGAATTTTCAGCTATTTTGAGTTAAATGTGAAATTCACATTGAATTCACTTGGGATTCTCACTTCAGTAAATAATCGTGATAACATTATAAACTGTTTTTAAAGGGACAGTTGAATAACCACTATAGTTTATTATAGAAGATGGGGTGCTAGTAAGATATAGGAGAGGTTCCTTGTTTTTTAGTCCAAATCATTTTCAAATAGTTTGAATGGAACCAAAGAAATCTCCTGCACTCCTTATTTATTATTATTCTATGACCTGGGAAATAGATCGAAAAAGTGGTTGGGCAGGCCGTATTCACTGAGACAGACACTCTTCACTTTCAATAGAGCTTACCATGCTGTATATGGAAAAGTCGTTTTTAGTTTAGTACAGAGTTTGTCAGGTATGAGAGGGAAGGAATGGAGGCCATTGGCTCTGTGAATCCATCCTTTGGTAGGGAATTTTTTTTGTATAGTATAATGTTATTTTTTTGATGGGGCGTCTTTCCAGACCCATTCCTTAAACAATATTACACTACACCCAAATCAGT